TTTTTTTTTTTTTTTTTTGGTGGGGGGGGGTGCCGCACTGTGCAGCATATGCAGGATCTTAGTTCCCCGACCGGGGATCGAACCTGTGCTCCCTGCGGTGGAAGCGCAGTCTTAACCACTGGCCCGCCAGGGCAGTCCCCGATTTCAATTTAAATAACCACACGAGGCCAACGGTGATGGCACTGGACAGTCTGGGAAACGGATGGTACACAGGGCGGCCACAATGCAAGAGGAGGGCCAGCTAAAGGGCCCTGGACCACGAGGCGGCAGGATGGAAGAAAGCAAGGATGCAGGAGTTAATTTGGAGGCAGGGTGCACGGGGCTTGCTGGCGACCTGGATGAGGGTTGGGAGAGGGAAATCGAGCTGACAACCAAGTGTCCAAATTGAGCATGTGAGGCGGGGCCATCTCGGGGACTGGCACACAGCTGGAAAACACTGACGATGTCAGAGGACGGTGCCAGCGCCAGGGGCCGCATCCAAGCCCACAACTGCAGAACAAGATTTCACGGAACCATCAGGCTGCTGCCAGCTTCCTTCCCTCCCCAGGTGGTGTGGAAGGTCCTCCCCACGAAGCCTCCCTCTCAAGCCACCTATCGTGACCTGGGAGGCAGAACGATGCCCTTTCCAAAGATGTCCGCACCCTCATCCCCGGGACCTGTGAACAAGTTAGGTTACACGACAAAGGGAATTAGGTCGCAGGAGGAATGAAGGCTGCTAATCCGCCAAAAATAGGGAGCAGTGGCCTAGATTATCCAGATGGGTCTGATATAGTCTCCAGGGCACTTAAAACTGGACAAGGGAAGCAGAAGAGCTTCAGAAAAAGAGATGTGACCACAGGAGTGGGATCAAAGACTTGTGATGTTGCCCGTTTTGCAGACAGAGGAAGGGAAACCTGAGCGAGGGATTCTGGGGGCCTCTAGAAGCCGGGAAAGGCAAGAGAGACGGAGTGTCCCCGTCAACCTCCAGAAAGGAACGCAGCCCGCTGACACCTGCATCTTAGCCTGGAGAGGCCTGTGTCTGACCCCTGAACTACGGGGCTGCTTAAGATCATAAACTTGTGCCACCAGGTTTGTGGGGATTTATCACGACAGCAACCGATATACCCAAAGCGCATTTTTTTTTTCAGGTTATCTTTCTGCTGCCCTATTTATCTCCAGCCTAATGGGATTATCAAGAGTACGGAGGCCATGGAGTAAACAGACAGATAAGCCCCTCATTACAGGCCACACCCTCCCGCCCTCCCGCGGAATGACACATACTGAACCTGCAGGTGCTGACATTCTGAATTCCGGACTCCCGGCACGGGCAGAAGCCCTCATTGGGCGGGTAGACGGACCCGTTGGCAAATAAGGTGTTGGGAGCCACGAAGCGAAAGGTGGGGATGCCTTCGAACATCCCCTGCTCCTTGTAGATGAGCTTCATGGACCTGCGGGGACAAACGATGGAGGATGACACCCCAGAATGAAGTGGCTGGAAGTGGGTGGCCCGAGTTGAGCCACGCCCCACGGGCACAGCCACCCCCCGGGTCCCAGCAGCCGCCGTCTCTCGCCTGGCGAATTGCAATGACCTCTCGTATGGGTCTCCCTGCCTCCCCCGCCTACGCCAATCCATTCTCCGCAAGCAGACGGAGCTTTAAAACAAGGACAGAATATATCGCGACCCCACTCAGAACTGCAATTGCTTCCAGTCTAATCTAGAATAAGATCTAATGTCCTCACCATGGCCCACAAGCTTGTAGAGGGTCCAGCCCCTGCCTACCTGTACTGCACCCCACAGGTGGTATTCCTCCCACATGCTCCATCCTGCCCCAGGGCCTTTGTATCTGCTACTCCTGGTGCCTGGAATGTTCCTCCCTCATCCCCACATCAGACCTCAGTTCTTCACTCAGTTCACGGTGCGGCTGTCAGCTCCGTAGGCAGCAGCAACGTGGCCGACACCCTATTCCCTCTTCTGCTCACCCTGCCGTATTTCTCAAAGGCACGTCTAACCTCGAACATGGGCTGTGGATCAGAACCGCTCCACCCGTGCTGTCCACGGGGGCCACTCAGCACACGTGGCCTTAGAGCCCTTGAAACAGGGCCAGTCCAAGTCAGGATGCAGCCCTATGTGTCAAATGCACTCCACATTTCTACGACTTGATACCCCCAAACAATGGAAAACAGCTCTTCAATATTTTACACCTGTTTACACATTGTGAAATGATACCATTTTGGATCTCCTGTGTCCAACAAAACATCATTAAAATTAACTTCACCTATTTCTCGCTACTCTTCTTTAATGCGGCCACTAGAAAGCTTTAAACTGCAGATGGGACTTGAATTACATTTTTATTGGAGAGTGCTGGCCTAGACAATAGTATCACGTCAATGCTAAATGTCCTCATTTTGGTGACATGATGGGGTTATGTAAGGAAATGTCGTTTTTAGGAAACACCCACTGAAGTATTTAGGCGTCCAGTGTACTCTCAAAGGGTCCAGGAAAAATATACAGAAGGAGAGAGAGAGAAAGAGAGAAGTGTGGGATGAGGATAAAGCAGAAGGGGCCAAAGAGAAACAACTGGGAAATTGGGGAAGGCGATGCGGAGAAAGTTGCACATTCTCGCAACTTTCCTCTAGGTTGAAATTCCTGATTTTAAGAAGTGAACACACGCACAGCAAAAGCACCTCCGCTCTCTGACACTCCCCTGGAGTGCGTGGGCCTGAGTCCCCCGCCAGGACATGACTCCCAGGGAACAGAGACGGGGCCCATCTTGTCTCTGCGGGGACCCCAGTGCCTCGCAGAGACAGGGCTCCATCAGGGTTTGCTGGGGAGGCAGGTGGGTCGGAGTTCACATCAGTGAGATCCCAAGCAAAGGTTTTTTCCAGAGTGGTCTGAACAGAGAAGCCGAGGACAGGCCAGCACCCAGAGAAGAGCTCTAGGAGCCACTGTCTCTTCTCACCCCTCGGCCGGGGCCACCGCCATTGTTCAGCCCCAAGCTGACCTCCGAGGCTGCTACTCTGGAGACTGGAGGGGCTGCAGGAGAGGCATCCAGATGTCACAGCACCCAATGGGAAATGAGGGCAGCCAAGCCAACAGCACAGGGGGCCCATTGCTTGCCTTATCGCACGGTCCCCTGCAATCCTGCCCATTTCCTGCCCACCACGACCGAGCTCCAACAACCGCCAGCAGCCTCTCTCTGGGCCTTGCAAAAGCACCAGTGATTGGCGTTTGGCCCTTCATGGTGCAACCAAAGAGAATTCAAGATGGCGCCAAAGGCCAGTGGACACACAGAGAGACAAGCGCTTTGCAAGTTCACACCACAAACCACTTGATTCTGCTCTGAGCAGCCACAAGGCAGATTTCCCAGGAGGCCCAGAATGTCCCACATCAGGGCAATTACCGGCAGGCCTCGGGGCTGTAGAATTCCAGCGAGGATTCAGGAGTCATAAATGGTGCCCACATCTGCCCGGAAGTCCCATTAATCATGTTGCACTGATCGGAATGCCAGAAGTTGACCTGTGGGGACGCAAGGCCTCTTAAAGAAATGCTATTGGGCATTTCCTACCTGACTTGGAGCTGTGACTTCACGGGCCAGGTGCCCTGGGGGATGTCACTACCCAATTGACAGAAGCCTGTCCCCTCGGAGAGACAGCCTGGTGCAAGGTGAGCAGGCTGTATAGACAGCCAGAGACACTGTCGACTGCAGCTCCCCACTCCCTAACCATGGATCCCTGAATGTGCAACTTTGCTGGGGACTCAGTTACTTCATCTGTAAAATGGACCCATCACTCACATCTCCAAGGAGCACAGTGAGCGGGGAACACTGACCTCCTCACCTCTCAGAGAGGAAGAACACTTCCTGAGAACAGATCAGGTTAGAAGGTAGCCCAGTAAGCAAAATATTTAAAATAATAATGGTGGCTACCAGATCTCAAAACAGTAGTTGCCTCTGGGGAGTGAGACCTGCACAGAAAGGAAACAGACTTCTCACATTCTACCCCTCTGTCCTAGGAGAAGGTTTTTAAGCATGTGTACATTTATATATATATATATATTTTTTTTTTTTTCCTTTGGCCACCTGTGGGATCTTAGTTCCCCGACCAGGGATCGAACCCAGGCCCCCTGCAGTGGAAGCACAGAGTCCTAACCAACGGCCCTCCAGGGAAGTCCCTGTACATTTTTATATTGAAAAAGCAAGCCAAAGAGAATTTCAGTAGCGCCCATTCGGAACGGTTATTAATGGTTGCAAATGGTAACCCTGCCACTCCGGGCACTGATGGGGAATAACCTGTTCGCCCCCACTCAGGTCTTTGCCACCATCACCCAGATAAGCGTTTGGAAGGTGTGAGCACCACCACCGCACAATCATTCTCGTGCATGATAACAAAAGGCCACCAGGTAAAAAAGGCAAGTTGCAAAACAATGCACATAGGATGATTTCACTCTGCTCCAAGAATAAAAAAAAAAAAAATGCAGCACGTGCAAATCGATACAAATAGACAGGAAGAATATACCCAACGCTGATAACTCTGGGTTTCCTCTGTGACTCAGGTGGGAGTGGGGCTGGGTGTGTGAAGTCATACAAAGTGCACTTTATATCTATTATTTTATTTTTTCATGCGGATGTCTTCCTGTGTTTCTAGCATAATTTTTTTTTTTTTACTCAATAATCTTTTACTGCAATGGATGGTTATATCATCAGTGTAATATTTTTGAAGCGTTCTTGTAAGTGAAGCATCAGAGAAACAGTTCTGTTCCCAGCATACATGTAAATAATCAGTGTCTATGTCCCACACACACACCTGGAGCAAAGAGCTAGATTTTGGGGGTTTTGGGGTTTTTTTTCGTTTTTGTTTTTAGCCGCATCTTGCGGCATGTGGAACTTCCCCGACCAAGGATTGAACCCGCGCCCCCTGCAGTGGAAGCCCAGAGTCTTAACCCCTGGACCGCCAGGGAAGTCCTAGTTGAGCCTTACACATAGGTAAAATCCCCAACTCTGAGAGCATCTTCCCTGCGGATGCAACCCCCTCCTGTTTTTGTTTTGTTTTGTTTTTTTAATTGGAGCATAGTTGATGAACAATGTTGTGCTAGTTTCAGATGTACAGCAAAGTGATTCAGTTGTACATATACGTGTATCTATTCTTTTTCAAATTCTTTTCCCATTTAGGTTATTGCAGAATATTGAGCAGCGTTTCCTGTGCTATACAGTAGGTCCTTGTTGGTTATCTATTTTATATATAGCAGTGTGTACATGTCAATCCCAAACCCCCGTTTTAAGAGGAAGGAGGTGCACTGGGCGGCCTGCCCTGGCAGCCCCTGCCATCCCTACCCGGCCCCTGTACAGGACGGCCAGCGCCTCTTGCCCTCACCTTGCTGACCCCGTTCCACTTGTCCACGAGATGGATCCTGGTGAAGTTTTTGACCCCCGTGAACACGGTGAAGAGCCCGGAATCAGAGTTGTTGAGCTGCAGACAACGGCAGAGAATGACACCTTTAAGCCCCAGGATGGAGGCAACGGACCCGGGGACCAGTAGTCAAGCCAGCCCGCTTAGTTACAGGCGGCTCTCTCTTCAGCCGGAGGACAGGGGCCTTGTTATCTTGTTCACCGCTGCATCCCCAGCACCTGGGGGTCAAGAGGAGGAAGACTTGGGGGCTTTCTAGGAGGGACACTCCCCTGATGACAGCATCCATCCTAGAGAGTCCCACCTTCCCTCCCAGACTCTAGAGAGTCTGGTTCTCCTTCTAGGTGAATGGTAGGGTCACCCCATTACTCCCCCCACATTAAAATAAAGCATGGCCACGTGACCTCTTTGATCAGTGAAAACGATCAACGAGGAGAGAAGTGGTTTGTCACTTCCAGGTGGGAGCTTTAAGAGCCAGTGCGTGCAAATTTCACCGTGCTTTCTGTCGCTGCTACAGAAACCAGGGAAGTGTGTGTCCAGCTGGAGCCTCCCTCAGCCTGGGTCCCTGAGTGACAACAAAGAGCAGAGGCCCACTGGTCACCCGCACTGGACATGGCATATAAGCAAGAGATAAACTTTTGTTGTTTTAAGCCACTGAGATCTGGGGGCTGCTAAACCTGGTGTATCCTGAAGCATACAGGCACACAGGAGCTGACGTTTATCAAGTACTTTCTAGACAGGAAGCACAGGCTTTGGCACTCTGAGGGTATTTCTTAGAAAAAGATTTCTAATTCAGAGCAAAAACATGCAAAGCGTACAAAGAAATGAGTGACTGCTGGGTCAAATCTGGAAAGCACCCTTTTACCTCCAAGGACGCCATACAATGTAAGGTGTAGCACCCATTAGGAACTCAGTAGGGGTTGTTTAGTGGCCGAATAGCTACATCGATTACTGACTGGTTAAGCCAACAGGGCCCAAGTTCAAAGCCTGCTCTGGCTTCCTAATATCTGTGTATTCTGTCACCTGTCCATTTAGAGCTTCATGAGCCCAAACTGTAGCCAATATAAGGGGACAGTAACAGGAGCCTCTACAAAGAGGTACTGAGAATATTAAAAGAGCTAATGTGTAAAAACTGCTGAGCACAGTGTCTGAGAGATAATAAGAACTCAAAATGGTTTATTATTATTATTGTTATTATTATTATTGTTGTTGTTATTATTATTAATAAATGCTCACCCAAAAGGATACTAACACAATAATTATAATAGACAAAGTGTATCAGAGACTGCTAGTCACTACCCAAAGTCCATTCTCCCCTTTCTCCTTCATAACAAAACCCAAACCTTACTCAGGGCATCAACACACTAGCTAAAAGGTAACATTTTCCAGCTTGCCTTGCAGCTAAGTGTGGCCACATGACTAAGTTCTGGGCAGTGGAAAGCAAGTGGAAATTGGTTTTCTCCCTCCTAAAGAGGGAAACAGCTGGGACATGCTGTTTTGTCCTCAACTCCCCTGACTGCCCCTAAAACTCCCACCACTTCATACTTCCTGCTGTTGCCTAGAATGTGGATGTGATAGCTGGTGCTCTAGCCGCCATCTTGGACCATGTGGTAATCTTGAGTATGGAAACCACACCCTCAGGAGGGCAGAGCAGAGTAGTAGAATTCTAGATCCCTGAAGAGTGTGAAACCACCACAGGAACACTGAACAGTCACTGCTGGACTGTTATTTTGGGATTTCCACTATACATACTCAAAAATAAGTTTTAACATGCTACTCAATTGGTAATAACTTTCATTTGTTTACAAGTTTACAGTTTGCTTTGACAAGAATCATGTCACTTACCTTAAACTTGCCAACTTACCCACACACCAAGAACCTGTCATCCTAGTCAAAAATGTACTGAGCAGCTATCATGTGCCCAGAACAGAATCACGATTTCTCCCTCCCACTGCCCCCAACACCAGATCAGCGGAGCCCCAAAAGGAGATTGAAGCTGGAGCAACTCAGAGGGCTGGTTACAATTTCTGGTTGAGGGAGCCAAGGTCAGGGATCTGACTCTACATCAGATCATGATTCAGGATCCCAATCACTGACCCTACTAGGTTACCAGGGGTCAAGATTAAGAGAAAGCAGGCAACTCAGAGCAATGCTATAGTTGACATGTGTGACCCACCTCCCTCCCCAGCAGCCACTCCCCTTTCTTTCAGCAACAGTCACATCATTTGAGCCTGGATCAAGCTGCATCTGAAACCACCCCTAGAGTTTTCAATTATATAAGCCAATGAATTCTCTATTTTGCTTAAGCCAGTTTGAGTTAGATTTTCTGTAATTTACAACTCACAGCTCCTGGGCCCCCAGCCAGCTCCAAAAGCGAGCTGGTAACCGGTTCCCAGGCTGTGTCAGTGGAGGACAAGACAGAGGCCCTGAACTTCTCACTGGGCCACACTTACCTCAGCAAATAACCCGAACTTGCCCTTGAAGGGGAACATGTTTGGGAAGTATTTATTGACGAGGTGGATGAGGGGATCCTCATAGCCCCACATGATCTCGCTGACAGTGCGGTTCATGAAGGCACGTTCACCAAGGGTGCTGAACGCCAAGGTCATGATCAGCTTCAAGCTCATGGGCCCATTCTCCATCATCATTGCTGCACTCTGCAGAGCCAGGGGACACCACGGGTTAGAGGCCAGACACAGCTGGTCTGTCCTCCCTGAACTTCAAGCCAGGCTTTCAGGCACAGCCCATCTAGAGAAACGTTCAGGCCTAGAAGGGTCCCTGCAGTGGACATGCGGGGCGTCTGGGTCATCCGGATCCATTCCCTGATCCTTCAGGAATAGGACCACCTGTGCTCTTGAGTTCAGGCCGAGTTAACTCCACCCCTAGCCCCACAGGCAGGCATGTGGCTTAGGCCTGGCCAATCAGAAACGTTCCTCTCGGGACTTCCCTGGTGGTCCCGTGGTTAAGAATCCGCCTTCCAATGCAGGGGGCGTGGGTTCGATCCCTGGTTGGGGAACTAAGATCCCACATGCCGCAGGGCAACTAAGCCTGTGCGCTCTGGAGCCCGCGCACCACAACTAGAGAGAAGCCTGCGCGCCACAACGAAAGATCCCACGTGACGCAACCAAGACCCAATGCAGCCAAATAAATAAATATTTTTTAAAAAAACAGTAAGGGCTTCCCTGGTGGTGCAGTGGTTGAGAGTCCTCCTGCCAATGCAGGGGACACGAGTTCGTGCCCCCGTCCGGGAAGATCCCACGTGCCGCGGAGCGGCTGGGCCCGTGAGCCATGGCCGCTGAGCCTGTGCGTCCGGAGCCTGTGCTCTGCAGCGGGAGAGGCCACAACAGTGAGAGGCCCGCATACCGCAAAAAAAAAAAAACAGTAAGAAAGAAACGTTCCTCTCTACGTGTATGTAGCCCAGTCACAGCCCACAAGCCCCAAGGAGCCAATCGGCTGGGACTGTGGGGTAGAGAGGGCAAGTGCCTGTGGCTGTCCTTGAACGTGGGGTGTGCAAGGCTGTAGCCACCCTGAGGGGCAGGTCGGCCAGAGCATGGAGCCATCACAGATCCGGGCAACCTTGTTTGCACTCTGGATCAAGCCACATCTGAAACCAGACCAACTCCTGCCCTTTCAGTAACAAGAGCCCACATATGCCCTTTTTGCTTATGCCAATTTAGAGCACCTTTTACTATAACCTTGTAACCAAAAGAATCTTCATGGAGACTCTACTCTGCTTCCTTATCATCTCCCTCCCAAACTCCAAGACCCCAAGCATCTGTTCTACCCAATATCTGGGTGCTTGGAATTTAGGTGAATTTATTTTCTAATTTTTGCTTTCCTCTGGAGATACTGTCTCGGCGCTTGGTTTATTTTTTAAAGGCACCTCATCCAAAAGCTAATCTCCACCTGTAGAAAAGGGAACAGAGCCAGCATTTCCTAAAACATAGAGGTCTGATTCCATGGGAACTCACAAGGGTCTCCTTTACATCATGATTTTTTTAAAGGTAATAAATAGATGGTTTTTAAAAATCATAAAAGGACACAAAACAAAAGTCCCTCTCCAACCCCGGACCCCCCTCTTCCTATTCTTCTCCCCCAAAAGGCAACCCACTGCTCTGGGCTCTTGAGGATTCCTGCAGGGAGAATCTACACCAGAAATCAGCAAACTATGGCCCGTGGGCCAAAGCCAGCCCACGCCTGCTTTTGTACAGTCCGGGAGCTAAGAATGATTTTGTTATTATTTTTTTTTTTTTTCCGGTACGCGGGCGTCTCACTGGTGTGGCCTCTCCCGTTGCGGAGCACAGGCTCCGGACGCGCAGGCTCAGCGGCCATGGC